GTTATTTAATAAATACGGATCACTTGAGGACATGGACGTGTCCGAAAACGTCCACTCTAGGGCACATAGCTTGTCGCCCTCGAAAACGGTGCAGGGTAGATCCCCAATTAATCCGCCTAAAAGATAGGTCTATCTACCAATATCGTGCAGTGGAACTGTAGAGGACTCCGGACAAATTTTAATGAAATACAGCTATTACTGTATTTATTACAGGATTTAACGCCATCAGCGTTCTGTCTGCAAGAGACATATCTGAAACAGACAGATAATTTTAACTTACGTCAGTTTGAAGCCTATAATTATTTTTCCCCTCCAGGTGATAGAGCCACTGGAGGTTCTACTATCCTTATTCGACAGGATGTGATTCACAGCCCTGTTACTCTTAACACTAATCTCCAAGCTGTTGCAGTGAGACTTACTCTGGGTGTAGCATTTACGTTGTGCTCTCTGTATATCCCACCTTCATCGACACTTCAGCTGACTGATCTTCAATCACTCTATGATCAACTCCCAAAGCCATGTGTTATCATGGGTGACCTAAACGGTCACAACCCACTCTGGGGCAGTACTACCACTAATACTAAAGGTAAAATAATTGAAGACTTCAGTTCCAATAATGACCTGTGCATATTTAATGATGATTCAAGCACCTATCTTCATCCTGCAACTGGCACTTATTCTTCTTTGGATTTATCTCTTGCAGATTCACACCTCCTGAATGAATTTGATTGGTCTGTTCATAATGACCTTTGTGGAAGTGACCACTTCCCAACTATACTTTCAGAAATAACTCCATCTGATTCTCCATCGTATACAAGATGGAACTTTTCGAAGGCGAACTGGTCTTTCTATCAAACTTTATGTCAATCTAAATTGCGATCTGAATTTTTCAGTGATATAACTGATCCCATTCAAACTTTTTCTGATGTTTTAAATGAAATAGCTGATGAGTGTATACCCAAGTCCTCTACGACTCCACATGTACGAAAACCATGGTTTAATACAGATTGTAGACAAGCCAGAAAAGCGAGGAAAAAGGCGGAGCGTTATTTCCGCCATCATCCAACTGTCCATAATTTAAATGAATTTAAAATACTCAATGCAAAGGCGCGTCGTACCTTTAAACAAAACAAACGACAATCTTGGAGAAATTATGTCTCCAAAATTAATTCGCGCACACCAATGTCTAAGGTTTGGAACATGGTTCAGCGAATAAAAGGCAAAGGTTCAAAATCAGCTGTACACCATCTTAAAGATGGTGATAACTTGATAACTGATAAATCTGACATTGCAAATAAAATTGGCGAAACCCTTGCCAAAAATTCATCATCGACAAATTATGTCCCTGAGTTTCAGAGATATCAGAAACAAAAGGAAAAGACAAAACTTAATTTCGACTCAAATAACGGTGAAGATTATAACGAAGTGTTTTCATTACATGAGCTACATACAGCTCTTGAGCAAGCTCATGACACTGCAGCGGGTGATGATTATATACATTACCAGCTACTGAAACACTTACCTGAACCATGTCTGACGACACTTTTAGATATATTTGACCAAATATGGACGTCTGGAGAATTTCCTCCTTCGTGGCGTAATGCCATTGTAGTTCCAATACCAAAACCTGGCAAGGATCATACAGATCCGTCTAATTACAGACCAATATCTCTAACTAGCTGTGTATGTAAAACCATGGAACGTATGGTGAATAACAGATTAACTTGGTATCTTGAAACCAATCACCTTATAACAGATATCCAATGTGGTTTCAGGAAAAATCGTAGTACCATCGATCATTTGGTACGCTTAGAATCCTTTGTTAAGAATGCTATAGTAAATAAACAACATGCTGTATCAATTTTCTTTGATCTTGAGAAAGCTTATGATACGACCTGGAAGCATGGCATTCTCAAGGATTTACATGATTTCGGTTTGAGAGGCCGTTTGCCTCTCTTTATATCACAGTTTTTAAAAGACAGACAATTTCAAGTCCGAGTGGGTTCAACCCTGTCTGATCATTATAATCAGGATCAGGGTGTCCCTCAAGGCAGTATTTTGTCTGTCACATTGTTTAGTATCAAGATAAACAGTTTATCCAAGGTTTTAAACGATTCAATTGATGGATCACTTTTTGTGGATGATTTTAATATTTCTTGTCGTGGTAAAAATATGCATACTATTGAACGGCAATTGCAGTTGTGTTTAAATAAAATAAATCAATGGTGTCTTGAAAACGGCTTTAAATTTTCCAAGTCCAAAACTAATTGTCTACACTTTTGTAGAAAATATAAGCCGCATAAAGATCCAGAACTATCTTTAAATGGCACTCCCATCAAAGTTGTTAAGGAGGCCAAATTCTTGGGTCTAATCTTCGACTCCCATTTAACCTTTTTGCCGCATTTTAAATCACTTAAAGCTAAATGCCTGAAGGCACTTGATTTGTTGAAAGTTGTTTCCAACTCAAAGTGGGGAGGGGATCAAGCTACTCTGCTCCACCTGTATCGATCATTGGTCCGCTCGAAGCTTGATTACGGCTCCATCGTATATGGTGGAGCCTGCAAAAGCAACTTAAAACTTCTTGATTCTATCCACCACCAAGGCCTAAGACTTTGTCTTGGGTCCTTTAGAACCTCTACTATTGATAGTCTATATGTTGAAGCAGATGAGCCTTCTCTTACACAACGTCGGATAAAATTATCTTTACAATTCATTACTAAACTATATTCTAGCGAATCTAACCCTGCATTTAACTGTGTCTTTCATCCCGTCTATGAGGATCTATACAATAAAAAACCTTCTCTTGTTCCGCCTCTTTGGCACAGAATTAAGCCTTTCATTTCTGCAGCCGGCATTGAGCTGGAAAATATAGCTCCTTCCCGTCTTCTTTCTTCTCCTCCTTGGCAATTGGTGAGGCCTGAAGTTGACCTCACTCTGACAAAGTTTAAGAAATCTCAAACTAATGAATTACAATATAAACAAGAATATAATCAATTAAAAAATAAATATAATACATACAAATTCTTGTTTACAGATGGGTCCAAGGATGGTGGCGCGGTGGCATGTGCCACTGTCATTGGATCCAGAACAATCTCCTCTCGTTTACCAGATGACAGCTCTATTTTTACAGCTGAACCAAACGCCATATTAACAGCCTTAAAATATATTAAAAAACACCCTAAATATCAACAATATATCATCTTTTCTGACTCTCTTTCTTGCCTTCAAGCTATTAAAAATATTTCTTGTAAACATCCACTTTTATTAGAAATTATTGAATTATATAATGAGGTTGCTACCGGTCAGTGCGACATCGTCTTTTGTTGGTTACCCAGCCATGCTGGCATTTCTGGGAATACAATGGCCGATCTTGCTGCTAAGGCAGCACTTAACAAATCTGTGACACCACTTCTTATTCCATACTCTGATTACAAAGCTAGCATGAGAACTTTCATCCGTGATCTGATGCAGAAGAAGTGGGACACCCAAGTAGGTATTAATAAATTGCATGAAATAAAACCCTATATCGGTTACACTTACTTGGGTTGTCAGTCCAGATTTGAAGAGGTCATCATGCGACGATGTCGTACTGGCCATACAAGGTATACTCACAAATATTTGTTAAATGGTGAAGATCCTCCGTTTTGTATCCCTTGTGATGAGAGAGTCACAGTCAAGCATCTCCTGCTTGACTGTGTTGAATTCTCCATCATAAGGGATAAATATTTCAATGTTAAAACTGTTAAGGATCTTTTTAATTCTGTTCATCTTCATTTAATTCTTGGTTTTTTAAAAGAAATTGATTTCATTAATGAATTTTGATTAATATATTCTGTATATAGCTGTGTTTTAATAATTGGTAGTTTGATTAGTAACTTAGATTGTTAGTGGCTGTACTCTCAAGGGGGGTTGAAGTATTGTAAAATGATTGTCCCAAAACTTCGAAAGTCAATTTAAACTTACCAGGATTTTTAAACGTAGCATTTTTGTCATTTTAATTGTAGCTAACATTTCTTACAATCACCAGCAGCTGAAGGGATGGTGTAAATCCAACTAGGGTCCATGCAGGTAGCCAAGGTACTGTAAGTCCCCATGGTCCCTAGTATGGTGATCGACCTTCAGTTGTTGGCAATCTATAGCCTGTTTTTATCTTGTATTGTCCTAATAGTGCTATTAGTTTTAACCTTCCACACTAGTTTTAAATCTAATTGTGATATTCTAGTTGTTTTACTGCCCTTCGTTGGCAGGTGTTTTATATTATACACATATTACATTTCAATATCAAATGTTCTCGTCACGATATGGCTGAAATATTGCCGATGTGACGTTAAATAATAACTCATTCACTCACACACGTATACAGATAGAGTGAGTGAGTTTAGTTTTATGCCGCCTTTGGCAATATTACAACAATATCACGGCGGGGAAACTAGAAATAGGTGTCACACATTGTGCCCACCTGGGAAATCGAATCTGGATTTTCGGCGTGACGATCGAGTGTTTTGACTACAAGGCTAGCCTACCGCCCTTTAATAGCTAGACGTGAGAACAAACACTCGATGATACGATGCTGAATGCTTTTCATTCAACCTTGTTTTTTTTGTCCAGATACAAAGAACTGCACGTGCTGTCATCGCGAAGGGGAGACAACTCCAGCGACTGTGTGGTGCTCGGTATGCGATGACGCCCTGTGTGATGTTTGTGCTAGAGTACACAGTCGCATCTCATCCACTCGTCATCACGATACAACTGCGCTGACTAGTGAGGCCATTATCCCCAGGAAACGAAACATCAAGTGTAAAGAACACAAGGATGAAAACATCAAATTCCTGTGCAAAGATTGCGAGAAAGTCACCTGTCACACCTGTTGTGTTATCTATCACAGGAAATGTGAGTCAGTTGTCACACTGGAGTCGGAATTACCAGCATTTAAGTCCCAGCTGTTGAATAAGAAGGAAACTATTTTGAAGAAGCAAATCAAAACGGAAACAAAAGTTGATGCAGTTAATGTGAACGTCGTTTCTGAAAAAGCTCGATATGCAAGAATGGAACATGACATCAAGTCTTTTGGTAACAACGCGAGAGAGAAGATAACTCTCATGGAAAATAAACTTCTAGATGAACTGAAAGAAGTTTCTGAAAAGCAAATTGAACAACTGACAGTCGACCTAAAGTCGGGTGAAATATCAGTACACATGTACCGACAACAGACTGAGCTGATAGACCAGATTCTACAATCCGAGTGTGACATGGACGTGTATGAGATGTATCAGGGATGTGAGGCCGGTGATGTGGATGCTGTCGGAGACGTAGACGTGAAGAAGAGGGGTAGAATAGCCAGGATTATGTTGAGACAGAACGAAGACATGCTGAGTAGAGCTCTGGACGATCTACAGCTGGGTGAGATAGATGTCCAGTATGACGGTATGCTGGAGTTTGAGGCAACACCTGTAACTCAAGACAATAGTAACGTGCTGGACCTGAAGGGTGCTCCTGTGTTACAGGACACCAGTAACGTGCTGGACCTGAAGGCTGCTCCTGTGTTACAGGACTCCATTAACGTTAGGGTAGCAGGAGACGAGAATAAGGTATACCCTACTGACGTAACGGTGTTGATGGTGAATGGTACAGACACAGTGGTTGTAACAGACTACAACAACAAATGTGTGAAGTCCTTCTATACCAGGAGCGCACAACGACGTCAAAGCAAGCTCAAACTGGGAAGTAGACCGTGGCGTATAACAAGGCTGAAACACAACCAGGTGGCTGTCACTGTGATGCATTGGAGGCGGATTGTAAGAGTTGAAGTGAACTCTGACCTGGTGCTGCTGTCGACCATCACAACCAGCAAACATTACTGGGGTATAACGTCTCTGACGCCATCAACACTAGCAGCAGGTTCTGATAGTGATAAATGTGTGGATATTCTGGACATGAGAGTTTCTTTGTACAACAAGAACAGGAAACATTCTTGTGTCGGATATAGGTTCGAAGCGTGTCCTGTGCCTGACAGCTGAAGGGGACGTTGTGTTCACCTACCCTACACCAGGACACACAACATTGCGACTTCCACGTGGTATCACAAGTACCAGCACAGGTGTCATCCTGGTTACTGACTGCACCCAACATACTGTTGTTCAACTGACTGAGTCAGGAGAGTTTGTCAGAAACATACTCACTGAAGATGATGATGTCTTGTACCCATTCGGAGTTTGTGTAGATGGGCGTGGCCGTGTTTATATTTGTAATTACAGTTCAGGTGAAATCAAAGTATTCAGGTTCAATAACACAGTATAGACCTTTGATTCTTTCTCAAGTGATCATTGCATCTGTAAATATTAAAATTAACTACATTTACAACGACCTCCTGACTGCAGATTGACTGAGCTGGTGTTGACAAATCATCACATTTAATGTACTGTGTGTCTGAGTATATCTAATGTACTGTGTGTCTGAGTATATCTAGTATACTGTGTGTCTGAGTATATCTAATATGTAGTGTGAATGAGTACTTCTGACTGTTTAGTGTGAATGAGTATATCTCATGTATAGCGTGACTAAGTATATCTAATATACTGTGTGATGCAGTATATCTAATATACTGTGTGACTAAGTATATCTATATAATATACTGGGTCTGAGTATATCTAATGTACAGTGTGACTGAGTGTATTTCTAATATACTGTGTGTCTGAGTATATCTTGTATAATGTGTGTCTGAGTATATTAAATGTACAGTGTGACTGAGTATATCTAATATACTGTGTGTCTCAGTACATCTAGTATACTGTGTGCCTGGGTATATCTAATGTACTGTGTGACTGAGTATATCTAATGTACAGTGTGACTGAGTTGTGTATTCTGGGACTGGGGAAAACTGATATTTAGTGCCAGTTAGTATCACTTGAATGCCCTTTGAACTTCGTGTACCTTATACAAGTTATAATAATTTTTATTGTGGTATATTAATATATGTACGCTTTAACCACTAGGCTAACTTATCGCCCCTTGTTCATTTGTAAGCAGAGTACAGTGAAAATAATAGGAGAGCGCTCAGCCAGTCGGAAACGACATTTATGTATGAGGTTAGATAAAGGTATGTGAAGCAGTGCTGAATCAATGAAGACACACTTACTGGTATCGGTGTTATCTTTAGCTTAAACTTAGAATGCAAAGCATAATGTGTACATAGGGCTTCTACACTATTTGTGAAATTACTTAAATTTCTAAATTAATCCATTTATATATTAGGTTCATGGACTGATATTCTGTCATTGTGAACAGTTCCGCGTATGTGACATTTGCTTCAGTGCTAATCACCTTTACCTCAACTTGGAATTGATGTCAGATTCCAAGCCTGTTCTTTGTACTTTGAATTATTTTGCATCGTTTTCTCCAGCAGTAACAGAGACTTCTGTGTGTGTGAAGATGAATTTACAAGATTTGTGTTCCGTGTGATATGATTTTCTACTTCTCGGTCGACGCGTTTCCTATTATATGTAGTACCCCAGCGCGTTTCCAATAAACGAGATCAAGAGTACTTCCTGTTATACGACTATTCTCAGTAGCCTGTAAAAGGCACTGCTCTGTTCCCAAAGTGTGTCTGCGAGTAGTTACATAATAAAACTTGTTTCCATGTTTATAATTTTAGTCAAGCAGTGTTTTGTATCTATTATCAGGGTTCCGGAGCTGTGTTCCCTATAACCGTTTGGTTTAATAGGGTTAACGGATGACAGGGTCATCAGGGTCACGTGTATCCCTGTGATCTTGGTATCGGAGTACATTGTGGAGAGTTGTGTTTATTAAGAGCCGTAAAACCCGGTTCGGTCTGGGTATCCTCAAGATTCAAGATTCAGTAACATACTTATCTTTGTAAAGCGCCAATATCCAGCTCAGCTGCTCAAAGGCACTTTGTTTTTCCCTTGATCATTGGATGTCAATCTCAATGGAACATCGTTTTTTTCAATCTCAACTCCCTTGGGAACATACAACTTTTGCAGCCATTTAGGTGCAGTGTAGATATTACTTGACTATGATAAAGGGACAGTATGACTTAACCTCTATCCACCAACTATCCATGTGTTAGAGGGACAGTGTGACGTTGGAACTGTGAAGTGAACATTACATTTAACCTCTATCCACCGACTATCCATGTGTTAGAGGGACAGTGTGACCTTGCAACTGTGAAGTGAACATTACATTTAACCTCTGTCCACCGACTGTCCATGTGATAAAGGGACAGTGTGACGTTGCAACTGCTATGTGAATATTACATTTAACCTATATCCACCGACTGTCCATGTGTGAGAGATGCTATGTGACTGTTCAACCTTCGACTGTCAATCACTCAACCAACCATTCAACCCAACAATCAATCAGTCAATCATCCAACTACTTCACCACTCAACCACCCAAACGGAACTCGGCCACCCAACAACTCAACCATATCAACCGCTCGACCAGAGACAAGACTTCAAAACTTCCTTTGAAAAGTGATTTTCCTTGTCGCTAACTTTGCATAGATCTTATCCAGGTCACATGTTGGGATTCAACAGTCAACTAAAATACTCACCGGAAAGAGAGTTAATATGGACCCACAATCAAACCTAGGTTCTAGTTTCATTGAGCCTGATCTATATATTGGTCCAATTGCCTTGTTTCCAGTGAACGTTTCGTTAAGATTTGTTTCCTGCCCATAATTATGGAGACGTGTCCGTGAGACATCATTACATGTGTCCACAGTTCGTTTTAAGACAGCAGGTGATAAGACGAGTTGCTGCAGTCTTTAAAGGATAATGTAATTTGATTTTTGAATGTGTTGGAAAATAGGTCCATGGAATTGATTCTAAGAGAATGGTGATACAGTTCAGTGGGTAATGATGTATTGAAGGGACTTGGCGTGGACAGAATGTGGGGAGAGGCAAATAGCCAAGACATGAAAGGGGAAATGAACATTGATTACATGTAACAATGTGGATGTGTCAAGAATTCTAAACCTAACCCTCGACCAAGTGTATTGAATTCTGTGGAGATCTCTTCTTTGAGTGGCATTTCTGAAGGTGGGAAGTACAATGTAGACACACGTTATGGATAACAACATCTTTCATCTGACTTCCAATACAGATGCTTTTACCGTTGTCTAGCAGTAATGTTTCACAAAGTTCAAAGAATTTGTACGGAAACGTCGCACTGACGAAATAAAGAACTTGCTATCCATACAGTTTGTCAATATTAGTGAGGATCACAGTAAAAGGTGTGACCAAATCTTATTCTAAAGTATATTCTTAATGAAGGAACTGACAGACTGACTTACCGAGCAGTCGAAGGCACCACTTTTTCAAGTGAAGGATTATGCCATTTCACCTGTAAAGATCTGCTGTTTGTTGGTTCAAATTTGTTGTTCGAGGAAGATACTGAAATTACTGTCATAGTTGCCATTACGCAATAAAACATTTCAGATTGCCAACAGACAACCAGATTACCGACAGACTCTCCACATGCAAACTTTGTTATTACTGCCAGTAGTTTTGATTGGCCGTGGGTGGACCAATCGTGTGAAGCACCGCGATTCGCTGAACAGAGTTACATCCCTTGGACATGCCAGAATTCTGCTGTACCCAATTATGTGGTATCTCAGGCCATTCCCGTGCGTGTGGGTTCCACGCAGTCTTTGACCTGTATCACTGCAGATGGCAGCTAAAATGCTTTCATCACGAGCTAGGTTTGAAGTTGTTTCGCACTGTAATGTTGTAGATTGTAGGCAACATGAAGACACAGATTTATTATTCCATATGGGAAGGAGGACACAGGGTAGAACTTTTCCCATTTGTGACCAACTCGTGGTCCTACGTGTCCCTCTGGAAGGATTTCATATTGGCGCATGAACATCAGAACTACTTTAAACAGGAACGATAACTCTATTCCTGTTTCATTCCAATGGTACTTAATATCACCCAAGCACACATTGTATTGCTGTTTTTCATTTTGCTTATTTACTTTAAAGAATTTGTAGGATTCGTACAAACGATGAGTGTCGTGCTATCTTGTTTAATGCCCTGGACATATTACATAATGGCTCGCTATGGTCGCGACCGTGTAGTATCATGCAGCAAGAGGGCTGTTAGAAAGCTGACGATGAGGTTTCCAATTATGCTTGAACATAATAGCAAACTTGGCACTTGTTGTTTGGCAATGTTATCTGCAGAGTTCTGTTTTGACTAGCATACACTAGGGGCTAGGGTGGGGAAACCATGAACTGTTAATGTCTTTCTCGGTCACTTTCCTTAAATTGCTTTTACAGTTTGTTATGTTTAGCACAATTTATGATAGGAACGAATGTAAACTTTAAAGTTCAAATTAAACTCTTCATTAACATAACTGGAACGTTGAACACAGTCTTTGAACAGCTGTTGAACAGTGTCTGTTTCTGATTAATATGCATATCTAGGGTTGGGTTGCACAATTCTTCCACTCCTCGTTTTTGTTAGAGTATGTTTTGTTGCAGCTGGGGATATGTGGTCGGTGTGTGACTTTGGCGATGTCGTTGCTGCAGATTTCACCGGTGGTGGCTTGATCGGTGTTCTCATAGTTGGTGGTTTCACTGGCGATGGTTTGGAAGGTGTTTGCTCCTCCAGCTGATGCTTTTGTTGCGGTTCTATCTGTTGTTTTTGTTGAGGAGATGTGTAGCATTGTCTCTTCTTGAGATCTTCAGGCACTAGAAATAGGTGTCTTCTGTTGCTCCGGTATGTTCTGCCATCCTATTCAACAATGTAGGACCTTGGTGTGTCATTCATGTCTTTTACAACTCCTACTTTGTCATAACCCTTTTCTGACTGTAATCTAACTTTGTCACTTGGAATGAGTTGTCCCAGTGGTTTTGCTGTTTTGTCGTATTGTTGTTTTTGATGTTGTCCGATGTTCAGCAGCCCGTTTCTGATTACTTGTGGATCCTTGAGAGAAGGTAGTTTTTTTGACATGGGGAGCTGTGTTTTAGTCCGTCTCGCCATCAGTCGTTGAGCTGAGGATCCAAAATTGGATCTCTTGGTGTGTTGCGCTGATTCAGTATTGCTAGATATAGGTCTGTTCTGTCCATGTCACACTTCTCTAGAAGGCTTTTGGCTGATCTCATCGCACGTTCTGCGAGTCCGTTGCTTTGTGGGTAATTAGGACTGCTGGTTTTGTGCTTGAACCCCCAGGTTGATGCAAATTCAGAGAATTCTGTTGAGGTGTATTGTGGGCCATTGTCGGAATATAGTATATCTGGTATTCTGAAACGAGCGAAGTGGCTTTTCAGTTTCCTGATGATTGCGGTTGAAACTGTGGTGTCTAGTGTGTTGATCTCGTACATTCCGGAGTAAGCGTCAGCTAACACAAGATGATTCTTCCCTTTCCATGTAAAAAGGTCTGTTGCTACAGCTTGCCAGGGTCTCTCTGGTACACTGTGTTATTTTAGCGGCTCTTTCTGCTGGTGTGTTTTGCAGCTGTTGCAAATCTGGCACAGTGTGGTAAGTCTGTCTATATCATTGTTCATTTCTGGCCAATATAGGAACTCTCTTGCCCTCTTCTTGGATGCTTGGGCTGAGATTTGGCCTTTGTGTACTTGTTCCATGTATTCATTCCTCAGACTTGGGGGTACCACAATCTTGAGTATTCAGCGAGCTCATCGCTGAATGAGTGATATGGTTTGGCCATGTTGGTGTACATCTTTCTTGTATTCTGGCCATACGTAGTATATGTAACGGCTCAGCAGTTGCATTAGTGGATCTTCGGCTGTTTCCTGTTGCAGCTGCTCTGTTGGCAGTTCTGTCATGGGCAGAACTGTCAATACCCTAAACTCTTCTTCATTGTTAGAGGTATCTTCTAAGTATGCTCGTGAGAGTGTGTCGGCAATTATTAAGTCTTCTTTCCCTCTCTTGTATACCAGATCAATGGAATACTGCTGTAGTTTTAGTAGCATGCGTTGTAACCTTGCTGGTGCTGCAAACAGTGGTTTCTTGCATATGGTAATGATTGGTTGATGGTCTGTTTCAACTGTAACTCTTTTGCCATAAATGTAATCATGAAACTTCTCACAGGCGAAGAAGATTGCTAACAACTCCTTCTCGGTTTGAGCATAGTTTGTTTGCGATTTCGTCATGGATTTGGACGCATAGGCTATTGGATGTCCTTCCTGGATTACTGCTGCACCCAATCCACTCTTGGTGGCGTCACATGTTAGAGTGACAGGCTTTGTAACATCATAGAATTTCAGCGTATCTGAGTTGCTGATTTCTTTCTTTATGGCTTCAGTTGCTGTCCTACATTTGGAGGACCTCTCCCATGTAGTCTCTTTCTGTAAGAGCTCTCTAAGTGGTGCTGCCAACTCACTGAGATGGGGAATGAACTTTGTCAGGTAAGTAACCATTCCTAGGAATCTACGCAATGACGGCAATCCCTCAGGTTCTGGCGTATTGACAATTGCTCGGACCTTCTCAGGGTTAGGTCTGACAGCTTCAGCTGTCAGTAAGTGACCAACGTAGCTCACTTCCTTTTCTTTGAAGTGGAACTTGTCCGGGTTCAGTTTCAGGCCTATTTCATCCGCTTTGTTGAGTACTCTGATGACGTTATTGTCATGCTGTTCTTCTGTTTCTACCCCAAACTAGTAGATCATCCATTATACCTTCACATGGTAGACCACTGAATAGACTGTCCATGTGTTTCTGAAACACTTCACTGGCTGAAGTGATGCCAAACGGCATTCTTAGGTATCGATAACGTCCATATGGGGTATTGAACGTCGTCAACATCGATGTTGCATGTAATAATGGAAACTGCCAGAATCCCCGCGATGCATCTAGCTTGGTGAAGAATTTCGCCTTGGGCATTCTTGCTATCATTTCTTCTACTGTCTTCATGGGGTAGTGCTGTCGCTTCAAAGCCTTGTTGAGGTCAATTGGATCAATATAAATCCGTATTTTGTCTGTGTTTTTCTTCTTTGCTATCACCATAGACGAGACCCTGTGTGTCGGTGCAGTCACTTGTGTGATCACTCCTTGTTCCACCATTGAGTCTAACTCCTGCTTGACTTTGTCCTGCATTGCCACAGGAATGCGCCAAGGTGCCCTGATCACAGGTACTATGTCGGGGTCCAGCTCAGCACTGTATTCTACAGGTAAGTTCCCCAGTTTTCCGTCAAAGAGAGTAGGGTATCCCTTTATAATCTGTGCCTTGATCAGTGGTTTATAGTTTTGTGTGTTCATCAATGTTAGTTCACACACACTGTACACATCCTCGTCAAAGGATAGTAACTTAAGGCATACACTGTCACGTAGTCCTACTATAGGCTTGAGCTGTTGCTCTATGACATGAAAGGTTAGCAGCTCTTTTCTATCTTTGAATCTACACTTGATTTGGGTTCTTCCCAATGTTTTCAAGGAACTCCCTCCATAGCTGACCAATGTTACTATGTGTTGTTTGCTGATTTTCTCTTTGTCTCTCACCTTCTTGAACCAGGATAGTGGTAAGACATTACATTTGGCACCTGTGTCAACTTTAAGCCTTATTTCCTCATTGTTTGCAAGTAGGGTGGCATATGCTTCCAGTGGTGACTCCTCAATTACATCCGCCTCTAGGGAATCTATGAATAGAAAGCTGTCAGTATCACTATCAGAGTCTTCATAATATTCTTCATTAATGTCGTGAACTGTTCGCTTTGCCTTGCGTTTTGTTTGCTTTTCGTGTCTCCTGTCTCTGCTTCTTGGATTTTCTTTCTGATTATCACTGTGCGGAGCTTTACAAACACTTGCAAAGTGGTTCATTTTGTTACAGTTGTGACACTTCTTGCCATTTGCTGGGCAACGGATGTGAGTATGTGCAGTTCCTGCTTGTAGGAGGAGATTTATGTGGTTTTCTTCTATCATTTCTAGCACTGTGAATAGCATGTACCTCTGCTGTTGATTTGTTTGTGAGTTCGTGTAGGCCCTTCTCCGTGATTTCATTGAGAGTGCATATGGTGACAGCTTTAGCTAAAGTTAAAGCACTTTCTTTCAGCAAAGATTTCCTTAGATGGTCCGAATCTACACCACACACTATTCTGTCCCTGATCATTTCATCTGTGAGAGCGCTAAATTCACGTCTTATTCAATAAATCTGTATAGAAAGTTTGGAAATGTTCACCTCTGCTTTGATTTCGAGTGAAAATCGAAAACGCTCCAAGGTAATGTTTGTCTGTGGCTTACACAGTTCGCTGAATTTATCTTTGAGGACTTGTAGGCTTGATAGATGTGTGGATATTCTGGACATGACAGGAAACGTCCTAAAGTCAATGAACCCTGTAGATAGAGAAAAGGAAATCATACATTCTCCCAACATTCTTTGTACAACAAGAACAGGAAACATCCTTGTGTCAGATGGCGGTTCGAAGCGTGTCCTGTGCCTGACAGCTGAAGGGGATGTTGTGTTTACCTTCCCTACAACAGGACACACAACACTGTTGTTCATCTTACTGAGTCAAGACAGTTTGCTAGAAACATACTCACTGCAGATGATGGTGTCTCGTGCCCGCTCGGAGTTTGTGTAGATGGACGTGGCCGTGTTTATGTTTGTACTTGGTAACCTGATGAAATCAAAGTATTCACTTCCAGTAACTAAGTATATACCTTTGATTCACTATCAAGTGCTCATTTTGTCTGTAAATATTCAAAATAACTACATTTACAACGACCTCCTGGCTGGAGATTGAATGACATGGTGTTGACAAATCATCACATGTAATATACAGTGTTTTGAATATAATTATAACTACTGGATAGTGTGACTGAGTATAACTACTATACAATGTGACTGTGTATAACTAATATACAGTGTGACTGAGTATAACTAATATACAGTGTGGCTGAGTATAACTAATATACAGTGTGACTGGGGAAATCTGATGTTTAGTGTCAGTGAGTTTCATCTGAATGCCCTTTGAACGTCAAGTAACGTATGCAAATCAGAATGTTTCCTTGTTGTATATAATTGTATGCAGAAGGACTAATTGAATGAAGACACACGTATGTATATCAGAGTATGCCACTTAAACTTAAACTTTGAAATCAAATTTTTATGTGTACATTGGGTTACTTTGTCTTTCAGACCTATTCGTAAATAAGGGTAGAAGATTGTCAATAGAGAAATGTATAAGATTATGTCCTTTATGTCATTCAGCCATTGAAAATGAAATCCATTTAACATTTTTCTGCCCATTTTTTGTTGATCTAAGAACCAAATATATACCAGTGCAGTATCAGTCAAAATATCCCGAAACTACCTTTGTGTCAATTTTATCCTCAAATAATGAAAACCTTATTCTCCAACTTGCCTTCTATGTAAAACATGATTTATCTTAAGAAATGAACTGTTAAGCATTGATTAGCTTTATTCCTCTCATCCTTGAATTATTGTGTGTATTTATATATGTATATCATGTATCTTCCTTGTATGTTGGCCAGAGGCCTTAAATACAATAAACACTTTGACTTGACTTGTCTACTGCACCATGTTCTGAATTTACTGGAATTTCTAAATAAGTCCATTCATAAATTTTGATCCTCAAGTTAGACTGTTATTCTGCCATGATGATCAGTTCCGCGTATATGCTACTCACCTTTACTTTAACT